CTTTTTCTCTTTCTTTTTTATATACTCTTTTTTCTTTCTTTCCCTCTTTCTCTCTCTCTATCTCTTTCTTTTTCTCTTTTTTTTATATATACTCTCTTTTTTCTTTCTTTTCCTCTTTCTCTCTTTCTCTTTCTCTCTTTCTTTCTCTTTCTCTTGATTATGGTTAGAGATATTGATAAAGAATAGTGTATAGTTGGTTGAGGTATAAGTAAGGGGCATGGAACAGAATGCTGGGTATGGATAGAATTGTAGTTTCAGGGATAACCAGAGACTCAGTGAAATGAACAAAATGAGTAAGATATATTTTATGTGAGTCTGACAAAAGAGGACATAATGGAGAATCGTGAGGATGACATTTATTAACAAATCCGAATGAACAGCGTCATCACAGTACTTCCCACATCTCTACCATCTCAATCCGTATATTTTCATCAACAATTGAAGATGTATTAGTTAACAAATACGAATCAGCAATGTCATCACGGTATTCCTCAGATCTCAACCATCTTTTCCAGTATTTATTCATCACTTATCGATGATATATTAATTAACTGTGCTGTGTGGTTTCCTCGCTTAGCAATCTTACCTTACCGCCAGTGGATGGCAACCCCGGCCATTCCTTGCACACAGGGGGTAGTTTAGCAGCACAATAAACAGCTAAGCCACAATTTGATTGAAGTCACAAGAGCCCGTCACAGCAAACCCTAAATCATTATCATTATTATTATTATTATTATTATTATTATTATTATTATTATTATTATTACCCTTACATCCTCATCAACCCCTCCCTGCCCAACAGGTTCCTCGCCTCTCTCATCGTCGTCCTGGGCGAGTTCGACCTCTCGGACGACTACGAGCCTAAGAAAACTGTCCAACGTAATGTGAAGCGAGTGGTCGTCCACAGGGGCTACGTGGCTAAGACCTTCGACAACGATCTGGCTTTGCTCGAGATGGACAGACCCGTGACCTTCGACGAGCACATTGTCCCCATCTGCATGCCTGAGGGGGAAGAGAATTTCACAGGCATGGTTGGCTTCGTCACGGGATGGGGGAGGTTGTCTTATAGTAAGTACGGTGGGTCTGGCGTGGAATGCTGGGGGAGAAAGACGTTTCGATTGGGATAACATGGGGGTAGACTAGGCAGGTTGGAATCACATAGATGTAGTTAGTTTGGAATAACATTGATTTGATTGGGAATTGTTTAGCTTGAAATAACACATAGAAGTGGCTTGTTTGGAATAACATTGATTTGATTGGAATAACAAGTACGATTTTTTTTTAGGATAGACGAACGCGTACATATTATTAGCTTAGGAAGATATATGAATATTGTTTAGTCTGGACTGACAGAAGGATTTTTTAAACATGGAATAAAAAATGGAAATTGTGCAAATTTGAAAAATTGTTTACTGTGCAATAACAATAGAACATTATTGCACCGTAATTAGTTACCAACGTTTTCCATTATCGTGCCCAGATAAACTAGACTGTATGTATATAAGTAACATGAGGGGAGTTAAGATATGAATTGCAAATAATGAACTCTGCGTAACTGTGCGTCTACCCATTTCAGGAGGACCAATCCCATCGCAGCTTAACGAAGTGGCAGTGCCAATTATCAGGAACAACGAGTGCCAGAAATGGTTCCTGGAGGCGGGGCACGTCAAGAACATCAAGCCCGAGTTCTTCTGCGCAGGATACAAAGAAGGGAAGAAGGATTCGTGTGAGGTTAGTGTGGGAAAGAGGAAGTCCAAACGTTTCTGTGAATTATGATAAAATAACGTTTGAATAATTAAATAATAATTATGATTAAATAACTAAATAACGTCATTAATTAAATAATTAGATAACGTTTAAATAATCATTATTAAAAAAACGTTTCGGTGAATCATAATTAAAATGAAGGTCGTAGTTCTATGGTTATCTTGAATGAGAATGGAGTTTTATTTATAGCAAAGACACTGGTAGGCATTTATGTAAAAAAATGTTTGCATTGTATCTGAATTTTTTCCTTTTTTTCAGCAACATAGGGATTTTCGTTTTCTTAAACTCTATGAAAATAATGTGCTGTTTTTTATATTATTTATGGTCAGATTTTCAACTCAGTAAATATTTCGACAAATGGCTTTTTTTTTTCTGCATGAATACGCCCTTACTGTGCAAAGTGAAGCATAAACCCTGTGTTAAACTAAGCGTCCTCTCCCCAGGGTGACAGCGGCGGCCCTCTCTCGGTGCAGGGCGAGGACGGGCGCTGGATCCTGGCCGGCACGGTGTCTCACGGGATCAAGTGTGCGTACCCGAACCTGCCCGGCGTCTACATGAAGATGACCTACTACAAGCCATGGATCGAAAGCATCATCAATTAGTGTGCAGATGAGAGAGAGAGAGAGCGATCGCGTTCCAGTGATTCCGAAATATGTGTGTGTGAGATTGCGTGTACAGCACCCGAAGACAGTGAGCGAGGACAAGAACTTCTTCAAGACACGCTTTTGTTTTATTATTTTGTAGATATGTTACTTCCTTTTCCCTTGATGAAAAGTGGTTTGTGTGCGTTTCTAATGCACGCGATGCCCTTTTGTTTTGTTTGTGTGTTATAACGGGGCTGGATCGAGACTAGAATGATTCCCATAATGAAGATATCTATTTCTTTCATTAGAACTATGGAGTATTTGGAACAAGGTGAAGCTGTTTTTACATGTGATATAATTTATCCTTGTTGCCTCAGCCGTGTGACGTGAAGTGCCTACTATTCTAGACGTTTTAAGATTACCCCAAAAAAAGTGTCACCCGTTAAGAACCTCAGCCCTTGAGATAATCCAGAAAGCAGAGACATGAAAAAAAGAGTGACGTGGCCTTATAACCCGAAGAAAAATGAGTGGAAACAACAAATATCTACAATCGAAACCAACTATCGGTAAACATCTTCACAAATGTCTGTAGTCTGTACAATATGAAGTCGAAAATGAATGATTTGCATGATATCTTCCGGCCATTATGCCAAGACCTCATGACAGACGAGTCACTCTTATGTAACGTTATGACACTGACTTCATGACAGTACGTTTGGTCGTCTTTGTCGTTATGTGATGTCAGTTTTGTGTATTTGACTATTTATTTATTTATGTTAACCTTTGTTTATTTATTTGAGACATTTCGAGTAAACATGTTCTTGTTTACCTGTAGTTTCGTATAACAATGTCTTCTATAAAGAAAATATTGATAGATGTTATTTTATTATTTATTTAGAAGTTAATACGGATAATGAGTAAAGATGGTTATATACCAAAACACTTTTTTAATCCGTTTTTTGTGATAATTGTAATACATATTCCATCCATTGCGTAATTTGTATATATTTATATTTGATATATATTTATTTTCATCTTTTTCGAGTTTAACTGTAAAGCATTAAGTCGGAATAACAAAAAAATACATCCCTTTTTCCGCTTAAAAACGGAAATTGTTCTTACAGTCTGATATCTATCTCAGCGTGTTCTTGATCGAGAACTATCTTTACCCAAAATGATACTGAAATTATAGTGAAAATGCTTATGAAAATGAACGAATAATGCAAGAGGACCTCAGTAACTGAACCAAGAACACGTGAATAAACGGGAATGACGAAATAGTAATTGGGCACTTAGATGAACTTGTTATAATTTCGTAAAATCAGAATGTGAAGTTGTTTATATAAACGTCATCCATAGAACCATAATTTTGATTCCATATCTATTTTATTTCACTATCTGAAAGATCAGTATTTTTCCATTTGATATAAAATCTTCAGAGTTCGATCTTTGCACCATGAAAAGCAATTCCAGCTAAACAGCCCATTATTGATATCACAGATTGATTAATTTCTCACATAATCAACGTATTGTGCAATATATCCTTAAGACTTTAAGCATCATGTGTTAACTGTAACGAAGCAAGAACGGACATTTTGATAAGAGATAAGAAAATAGTCTCGAAAACGTGCCAGCCTGCATTGCCTCAAATCTCTCGTTATCATAGGCTTGTATGAGCATCAGCGTCTGTGATGATTTAAAATATATAGCCAAAGATGCAGATTATTACGTCAGTCTATTCGTCAATCAAGGAATAGAAGTGATACATTCAGAGAAATTACGTGAATATCGACTCTTAGTACATTTTCAAAAATCATTGGGTGTTTGTTCATGCTTGTGATTAGTTTGTTAGTGTTTTTGTTTAGCCTCGTATGAACCTGTGTATATTGTATTTGTTTTTAAATGGCATCAAATATTCAAACAAAGGAATTGCTCCATTTTAGTTCTTTCAATAGTTTTTTTTAATTTCATTAATAAATGGTGCCGTAAATTGTCAGTTATATTGGAACGTGATTTTCATAGGTAGCTTGACTGGGATTTTTTATTTTTTCATCAACATTATTGTTGTTATTTATATACCTTTTTTTTTTACATTGTTGGCGTTGCTATTGTTGTTGCTGTTGATGCTTTTACCCTTATCATCATCATCACCTTTTCCTATTATTGTTATCATGATTAGTTCTATTGTTATTATCATCATCACTATCATCATCATCATCATCATTGTTATTATTATTATTATTATTTTTATTATTATTTCTATTATTATTATTATTATTATTATTATTATTATTATTATTATTATTATTATTACTCTCATTATCATCGACACCGTCACTAATGTTATTAATTCTATTATCATTATTATAATAATAATAATTATTATTATTATTATTATTATCATCATTATTATTATTATTATTATTATTATTATTATTATTATTATCATTATTATTATTATTATTAATATTATTATTGTTATTATTATTATCACTATTATTATTATTACTATTACAATTAATGTTGTTATTATTGATGTTATAATCATTATTATAATTATGATTATCATTATTACACTCATCATTACTGATCATGTATTTCCTAAATATTTTCTCTATTTGAGTATTTTGCCTTGACTCCAAATGTTTC